TGAGGCACTATGGATATTGGTGAGTTTCGTCGACGTTTCGAGTGCTATCAGCACCTACAGCAGAGACAAAAAATGAAACGACAGGCATATCACTGCTCAGCGCAGGCGGCATGAGTTTTATCAATGCAAGTATATCTTGACGAGCAAGACCCAGATGGCACATTTCGTCACTAATCAGTCAGCATGCCAGCCGCCGCACCCATGAAAGCCCATGACTGAAGCACCCTCCGCTTGGTGTCGTTTCCTAGCCTATCGAGAACCCATCTGCCACCCTCACCAGGCGGAATCTTCGGCTATCCCCTGAGAACCCATCTGACCTTTCCTCGTGTTTGCCTGTCTGAGGAGATTGAGTTGCTTCGTCACTGTACCACCCTTATGTAATCGCCTTCTCCCTGCAGATTTCTAAGTCTGGACAGTTTCTGGAATGCCATTGAGCTCCCTGGATTGGTTTGGCCCAACAATGCCTTGTCCAGAGCCAGCTTACCATCGTCTTTGCTCACCTCTCCCAGTGGAGATGGTTGTAGGTTTCGCAGCTGAGAAATAGATTCCTCAAAGAGAAATCGAGCCGCTTGATTGCCGAGGCACCAGAGTATTAGCCTGTTATTATTCCATGGCCTCTGCGACGGCACGCAACGGTGATTCCGTGACCGATTTTGTGGACAACTTAGGAATAGTCTACTTTGGCGCCGTGGCACCCTCGATATAAAAGGTAAATCTCGCCGGAACAACTAGAACTCCAAATCAAATCACGTGATGTCAATGAAATCTTGGCAGGCTAAGCTTGACACAGACTAGTTGCACACAATCCCAATTTTCGCAGGCAAAGACCGCAGTCACAACCACCAACATTTCGAGAGTTGGACGAGACATTCAAAGAATCGACCACGTCCCATTCACTTTCAGCTTTTCGTCGTCAACCAGTTCTCACGCCGTCAAGATGGTCTCCGCCGGCGGCCACAGATGTACGTGCACCCCCCCGACCACACTCTCCCTGCGGTTCCCTGCAAAGAACATCAAATGTCGCAATTGGGATTTGATCATGACATTGGTGCAATCAGCAAGGCGGCAAGAATGTGTTGGGATCAAAGCTGACTATCCTGGTGCCGTATAGTATATGTGAAGGGCAAGCACCTCTCCTACCAGCGAGGCAAGCGTAACACCAACCCAAACACATCGCTACTCAAGATCGAAGGTGTCGATGACACGAATGCTGCGAAGTACGTTTCCGCCTCATTCTGAGCAATCTCTCTGTCTATCTCTATCTTCTTCACTCCCCGGATACGTGGTCAATTCGAAGGAAAGGGACAGAGCAAAAGAGGAGGATCGGGGTTTGAGAGCTTGGGATCATCCCTTTGCGCATACCTCGAATACGCACCTCGCTCGTTCTAGAGTTCCAGCTCCAGAGATCACGGCTTTCCTCCGTCCTCGATTTACTTTCTCGCCGCACGTTCTTCTTTTTAGGGATATGCAGTTTGCTGAACTGAAAATCGTGCGAGCCTTGAAACGATTTTGTTCACTAACTTAGATACTGCAGATTCTACCTGGGCAAACGCGTTGCATATGTCTACCGTGCTTCAGCAGAACGACAAGGCAGCAAGATCCGCGTGATCTGGGGAAAAGTCACCCGCCCTCACGGCAACAGCGGCATCGTGCGCGCCAAATTCCGACATAACCTCCCACCCAAGAGTTTCGGCGCGGGCGTGCGGATCATGCTTTATCCCAGTTCGATATGAGTTGGTTGCCTTTGTGTGGATGGGAGGGGGGAGTGGTGCTGATTTCCCCACGCCAGAAGATGTCCTCCCGGGCATCGGATGAGTGGTGATGAGCATTGGGAATGGATGGACTGGTGAGAGGGCGAGTTAGAAACATGATTGACCGATCACGAACGAGGCGCAAGCGAAAGAGATGTCAGCCTCGGTGCATGCGAGGTATGATGGGGAAAAGGTCTCATAATCCGCGCCATGCCTGGTATGCTTCAGAGGTTGAGCTAGACAACGAAGCCTGCCACTGTGGGCCTTTGGCTCCCCTCGAAGGTGATGCCCCTTGGCGCAAGAAATGGTGGGAATGCTGAGATGCCGGGAGTGGTGCGATTGCTGCTGTTGCTGCTGCTACATGGCATTCACGGGAAGAGGCACAATGGGCGCAAAAATGACTAGTCAACTTGGTCGCGAGTTTCCCCAGCGCAGCATTTGTTTCATTATGCATGTGCTACGGAATCACACACACAAAAAAAAGAGAATCTTTCAACATTGTCGGCTCTAGGGCAAGAGGAGTGAGTCGAGTTACTCACCCTCCCTGCTCTTTTCCTTTCTTTTTTTCACTTGCTTTCTTGCCCTTCTCTGCTTCAAGACCCTCATGCTCCTCGAGATACTCACTTGAAATCGCTCGAGCATGAGCTTGTCGTGATTTTTCACACTCCGACGCCAGGTTTGCAACCCCCTCAATGAGAAAGAGTTAGTAGCTTATGAGTACGGAGAGACACTCGAGAAGTATTGAACCTCAACTCAGGAAAAAAAACCTTCGATGTGTCATGTCGTAGCCATAACGATATATTACATTACTCCACATCTATCATGTACCGACCCAGTCTCACCAGCCCGAGGACACGTACATACTGTAGGTGGCCAGGGCGATCCCAAAGTTCTCGCTCGCCGGCGAAATGCCCACGGTCAAGTAAAAGTGCACCAAAAGTCGCAACGTTCGTGAAGTCGATAGTTCGCTCCCTCGCGGACAGAAATGGTGTGTCTATCTATACATAAATACGCCGTATATCACAATCCGTATATCACAAGAATGCAGCCGCCCTAATATATAGTTTTTCCGGCCAAAATAATTGACAAAGACAAGACGATTTCATGAAGAGTCGGGTCCTCCGATCAGAGGTCGGACTAGGGCGTTGGCGAAGAGGGCTACACCCCAGGCAACGCCTTCCCCGACGACGCTGCCGGGACAGAAGTCGGTTCCCGCGTTGATGACGAATGCTGTTCGAATCATCGAGTCAGTAACATGTATAAAACGGGTACCTCATTGGGCTATAGGAGGAGAGCTGGAGGGGGGAAGGACCAAAGCTTACTGCTCCAGATGACCCAATCCGTTGCAAACACGCCGACCATGGTGATGCCGGCAACAGTAAAGACGAATCTCCAGAATGTCGACAGCGGTGAATCCGCATCGATGTACCCAACCATGTTATACATGATGTCATTGGCGCGCTCCTTCCTGCTCCTCGAACAGGCGTGGCCCAACATAACCACCCCGAGGAGCACACTGATGGCACCGGCACCGGCGATGGCATAGAAGGAATTCCAGAAGCGCAGGTATGAGGTGTTGTCTGAACAGACACCAGCGCTCAAATTATCGGGTCGATGCAGGATATACCAGAGCGCAAAAGGCAGACTGAACATGTTGAGCAGTGTGTCTTCAACTGTATGGTCCTTGAGCGACCACAAATAAGTATTCTGGTTCCCCTTTTGGCCAAAGCACACGCGGGCGATGATAAAGTATAGGAGCGTAAAGACGGTGGCTCGGGGTCGCATGGTCCAGAAGCCGAAGAGCATGAAGGCATTGGGACGAAAGCCATTGTTTCGGAGAAGGTAGGTAGCAGCAAACATGGCCGCTATTGATATAATGGCTGTGACAACACCCGCAAAGGGTGTCCACCGAGCGCTGGGAAAGCAGCTGTACCGGGCAACGGCTCTGCGGACTCGCTCGTGGCCTACCAGCAGGCTGATGTTAGCTTGTCATGAGTGGGACAAAACAGAGGGATAACTTGGTGCGAACACACGGAGTCTTACCAAAGATCAAGGACAGTAGGGCTACTTCGGCGTTGAAGATAGCAATCGACGCAAGGAGAGAGTAGGTTGTGGGACAGTTGGTGAGGTCAGCTCTGTCAACAAGGCCCTGTGGCATACAGTTGACATTGTTGGCCATATCAACAGGGTGCCGGGTAAGCAGGCTGGCAGCTGGCTGGATAAGGCTGAGGCGCTGAAATGACTGTGATGTGGGAGCCAGCAAATGCAGTCCTACCGACACTGGCGAATGATTCTGCTTTGAGAGACTTTGATCGAGTAAAGATCATCGGGCTGGAATATTGCGATTAGCAGGGCAATATATACGACCATGTTTGCCCGGTAGGCGACATGATGGGAAGACATGTGTTTGGTGGGGGCTGTGCCTGATTCGAAGCCTCAAGAGGCTTGCAGGAATCTCGTATTCTGCTGTACATGACCCCAATGAGTCCTACAAGGTATCCACCTGTTGAGGGTTCTCGAATGAGAGCCTGAATGAACTGGCACCACCCTTACTAGTGGTCAAGGGCTTCAGTGAGGGACTTCAAGGGAAGCCAACATCGTCGAAGTAGGATGGCCATGCGGGTGTTTCTGAGGATGATTGGGTCTGGCTGCATCAGGTAGCGCAAGCCTGGCCCTTTTCAGATATGTCGTTCAAAGCGTTTGTTGCGCACCTTCACGGTCAATGAGGCAGTCGAGCTTCTTCCGTGAATGCACGATCAAGTATCCCCGAACGAGTTCCAGCGGGGTAGGCCACTTTGGTATATAAAGAGCCAAAGTTCTGGTACAAAGAGAACGTAGCTGATGGAGCCGCATTGAGATCACGACCAATGAGACCGGCTTTGGACTAGGCTTGGTGTGAAAATGCTGAACGAAACTGGCAACTCTCTGCAGGGGCTGGTCGAGACAATGGGCTGAGGCGGCGAAGCGAACAGGGTCGCGCAACTTGATTGTCCAATGGTGGAATGAGAGCAGAGTCAGCCACACTCTAGCCTCACGCAGAGAACGCCCAACTGGGGGCGATGCTTGTTGAGTCCCTATTGCACTGGAGCCGTCCGTTCCGGGTGATTAGTGTGATCTTATCAGATAGGACAATGTTCTTTATAGATTGAGGTGCTCAGGTCAAGTGGTCTCAATAATCTCTTTTGCCACGAAAGTCGACTGGACAGGAATGGCTGCAATGAAGTCGTATTCCACATGACAAGGCTTTTATCAAGTCAAGTGCTTCAGCCGTCTAGCAGCTTCTGCTGAGATCAAGGAGCACAACGCTCCGATGAACATACACACGGCGATTGCATTTGGCGCGTTCTTTTTCAGATTGAGCCACCGATCATGGTTGGAAACCTCATCAGCGACCGGAGAATGCTGGCTTGGTTCCAGGATCGAGAAGACAATCCAACTGACAAACGTCCCGACAAATTGTGGCAGCGTTGTATATACATTCAACACACCCAGGTAGACGCCCGCAAGCTCTCCTGTTGAGGAATGGGCGTCACCTTCATCGGGATGATTGAGTCGCAGCACATCCTCGGAAAAGGTCCTGCGATGTTGTCGCGCGATTTCCATCTCGACACCGTAGTTCTCATCGACGCTGCCACGGACAGCCGTATAACCAGGCACAGTTGAACCACTGATATTGGTAGGAGATCCGGAAGACATCTTATTGATTTCGATACCCAGCAGGCCAAATGGTGCCCAACACGATATGGCCCAGGGTACGCCACAAGCAGCTACCAGGAAGCTTGCAGAAGGAAGTGTCCGGACCCACGGGGCAAATATCGTGATGATGGCAAAGGAAAGATTCGATAAACTCCACGCCGATATCAGATCGGGTCGAATATCGTATGCCGCCGCCAAAATCTTTTGGAAAAATTTGGGAATCGAAGCAGGGGGCCTAGGTGTAAATTTCGTATCGGGTGCCTCCGGTGATTTGATGAGGAATGGGAATATGACCGACGCACAGAAGGTGGTCAAGGAGAAGAACACCAATGCGAGGCTACCTATCCGGCCGACATTCCCCAGGGCGTCTTGTTCATCCTCGACACCCAGTTCGCGAGCAGGAGCCTCGTAGCGATAGTAGATTTCCCCGACGAATGTGCTTGAGTAGAACAGGAAGGGAAACCTTAGAACCGGTACATTAGTCTCTCGCCCGTCGCTGACAACCACTAAGGGCATTTAACTCACCAGCCAACCCAGTTCCAGAATTGTACCCAGCATATAGCTCGTATGCGTGTAGGGAGGTCAAACGTCTTCCGCGCAAGACCTAAGAGTACCTCTTTCACCGAGGTATGGTCGTCCTCGTTAGGCAACCTCACTCTCTCTGTAACAGCCCAACAGCTTATGCCCACGGTGGACCATAAAATCAATGTTGCAATGACCGTCATTTTCTTGAATTGAGTGTCACCTCCCATCCAAGGTGGGAACATCGCAACCAGATCAAAAGTGCCGACGAAGTAGCTGGCTAGATGACCTGCCGCGACCAGCCTCGATGCCCACGCAGATCCAGATTGTTGCTGCGAGACCGGTAATGTATCGACAATCAAGCTGCGACAACACGCCTGCACTGCATTGATTGAAAAATCGAGGGTATAAATGCACATGACAGCGACCAGGATGGTCATGGTCTTTTTTATGTCGCCTTCGGGTAGGAAGCAGCCCACAAATTCAGATGTCCAGCCCAGCAGCAGCAATCCGCCACCTGTGACTATGGCACCCCCGACCATATAAGGTCTTCGCCTGCCGTATCTTGACGTTGATTTATCCGCGTAAGCCCCAACAATTGGTTGCATGATCAAGCCTGAAAGTGGTCCTGCGATCCATACTAGGGATGTTTTCGACTTTGTGAGACCGAGCTGGAGAAGATAGGGAGTTCCGTAGGTCACTGTCAACTGCTGTTAGCGTGCGCAATTGAATCAACACCGGAGTAATTTGTCCAAGGAGAGGGACCTACTCTCCAAGCCCCAGCAGAACCTTTTGTTGAGCACTTGTCAGTTTCACAGATTCGTTGCTAAAACCGAGAGGGAAGTAGTGTCACATACTGAATGCCGACCAGAGAGGCGGCGAGCAAGCACATACGGATGGCTTGAGTTGAGCCTTTGATGGAGGGCGTGCCACTCCATGTTGCAGTTTTCTCCATGTCATCGAGGGGAGGAGGGAAAGAATGGGAGGAAACCGTGTTGCGCTGACCGCGTCGGTAACAAAGATACTGGCGCACTGGATCGTAAGAACTGCAAGTTCTCTTCTGCCACCAGCGACGGCCACGAGGGTATAATATTAGATTCCATGGCCCTGGAAAAGGGGGATTTCCTTATCTCGGCGGTGGATGCCATTTTGTCTTGGAGGTCGCGTGTCACATAATGAATATGTAAAAGGTTGCGCAGACGCGTTTCTGTTTGTCCGCAATGACGTATTCTGTCCTCTTCGCAATGAGTACACAATGATTGACAAGATCAGTGTGCCAAAAATCAGGCACCCCGGACCAGTGATTCTGGCGAGCTGGGTGCTCTGGTTTCAAGGGTGTAAACCTTCGGACTATTACTTTTACGCTTGTAAATGCTCCGGATAACAGATGTGGAAGGTTTAGATTGTGGCACCCACGTGGTGATCGATCACCCAGGCACTCCTTATGCAACCATTCTCCTTCCTGGCTGGGTCAGCTACATAAATTGACATATGTTTTTGGTCTATGACAATGGGTCGTCTGTGACTAGGACTGCGAATTCCACGCTCTATTCAGGTCTGGCCATCACTTCTTCACGTAATCTTCCGAGGTTGCACCACTCCCTGGATGAAATCAGCCAACAATGTAAGGCGCCACAGATCAGACAGCCGCACCGGAGATGAAGAACCACTTGTCAACGCTGCCGTCGATTGGCGCAGGGGGGATGTTCTGTCCCGGAGGGATCTTGGAGAGTTGAGATGGATCGACACGATCTGGGGAGCCGGTATTCGTGACATTGGCCAAATTGATATCACCACGTTGTTGCTTGCCGGTGACCAGACGTTCCCAAGCGTCACTGCATTCACGGATAATCTCCTCGGCGTACTTCTTGTTCTTGCATTCACCGCTGAAGGCGAATTGGTTCTCAGGCTTTCCATCTGGGATCTTGTAGATGCGGAACCATTCGTTTGTCGCTCGGAGCAGGCCAGGAAGATGTCGCTCGACGTCTTCGATATCGTTCAGCTTGGGGGCAAGAGGATCGTTGACCTGTAGCGATATTAGCATTGGAAGGATGAAAAAGATACGGGCTATGACAACTCACATCAATGACAATGATCTTCCAGTCAGTCTCTTCTTCATCGAGAAGTGCCATGACACCAAGGACCTTGACCTGCTTGATCTGACCGGTGTAGCCAACCAGCTCACCAATTTCGCAGACATCCAATGGGTCGTTATCACCCTTGGCCTTGGTTTCAGGGTGTACGACGTTGGGATCCTCCCAGGTCTGTGAACTGGTTAACTTTTGAATCCCATCTCTTTCGTCCTTGACCGCCACTCACTCTTGGGAAAGCACCATAGTTCCAGAGGTAGCCTTTGTGAGGAAAGCAGTTGCGAACGAATCGGAGCTTCCCTTTCTTGACGTCTTGCTTGATGGGGTTCAGGAATTCGTCTTTGGAGATCTGGCGAGCGGTCAGCCACTGCATTTACATTTTGAAGACTTTGGAAGTTCGAAGTTCGAGATTTCTTACCTCCAGTTTTGCGTTGGACCATCTGGGGATCTCGACGACCATGTTCAAAATTGTTTGCTGCTCGTTTGCATAGAGAGGAATGTCATGGAAGGGCGAGACCGGAGTGCCATCTTTCTCAATGTAGCACCTGAACTCATTTGTGTGAAGAGCACCAATTTTTCTGGGCTGGTATTCCGAAGGCTGTTTACTGTACGACATCGTGGCGGACGCTGGACGTGGTAATGAAGCAGAAGTAGAGAGGTGCCGAGCAATGGCTTCTGAACGTTGGGAAGCTATGGTTGTAGAGGTGGAGTGACGGAGGGGAGGAGAGATGGAATTTTCTGTCGGCTTGGTGGAAGCCAGGGCGAATGTGCCAGTGAGGTAACGATGAGCAACCTTGTTGGAGGTAGGGGCGCGGGGTGGGAGGCACAGTGTTGACAATTGGCGGTGAAATGACGACTGGTTCTGAATGGACGAGAAATCCGGGAGGCTGCTGCAGGTGCGCGAAGTGTGACTTCTAGACAGAATGCCAGACACTCGAGACATGTGCATATGAAGGATGAAATAGGCCAGACTAGACTTACTATCCGAGGGATCTAGGACTTTAGTCTCGCCTTACGATTGTGCAACATTAATATTTCCACCTCGGTCGGTGAGAACGACCAGAGCTTCCCATACTCCGAAAATACTATTGAATTTTGATCTGGTATCGATGACTGTGTTGCCACAATCGATCCCGAGTTTTTAGCTATCTTCACGTGATGGAAGGTGGACTTTATCTCCACGTGATACCCGTACATGTTTGCCGCCTGCGCAACTGCGACGTCTCTAGATCTGCGGACAAATCGTTCATTTGGCTTTTCCACATTTGATTCACCACTGCGCTCCTTATGACTGTCGGCCATGCTGTTCGGCCGCAGTCTCTGTTACGACGCACTCTATCCCTCCTAGACTACCTTTGGCCCTCTCTAGCTCCGAGAATGGCAACCCCGCTCCCATTCAAAGATGTTCCTCATCTCCCTATTCCCGCGAAAGGTGTTGACTACCGGGGAAAGATAGTTCTCGCTCCCATGGTTCGGTCTGGGGAACTTCCATCACGTCTTCTGGCTCTCAAATACGGTGCTGACCTGGTATGGGGTCCCGAGACGGTCGATCGATCTATGATCGGAACTACTCAAAATACCAACCCTCGCACTGGCTGCATAGAATGGACGCGGACCTCCAACAACAATTCAACAAGTGTGATATACCGCATTGATCCACAGAGAGAGTCGGACAAATTGATTTATCAAATTGGCACCGCTTCGCCCGACTACGCCGTTCAAGCTGCGACACTCGTTGCTCCGTATGTTCGTGGGATTGACGTGAATGCTGGGTGTCCAAAACCTTTCTCTACTTCAGGAGGCATGGGCGCCGCACTGCTTCGGACTCCTGATCATCTGTGCAACATCCTCACAGCTCTCGTCACGAAAGTGGGAACGCCTCATGAGATCGGTATCAGCGTCAAGATTCGTTTATTAGAGACACCTGAACTGACCTCGGAGCTCGTCAACAAACTGTGTAAAACTGGCATCATCGGCTTGACTATTCATTGCAGAACTACGCCAATGAGACCGCGAGAGCGCGCCATCAGGGATCAACTCCGGATGATCGGTGATATATGTAGAAGCCATGGAGTCGCTTGCTTGATGAACGGAGACGTGAGATCTCGTGAGGAAGGGTTGGCTTTGGCAAAGGAGTATGGGGTCGATGGGGCAATGATCGCCACAGCGGCCGAAGCCAATTCATCAGTTTTTCGCAGCAAGGAGAACGGTGGATTGGCACCGTGGCGAGAGGTGGTCAAAGAGTACTTGCAGCTTGCGATGAGTGTCGAGAACAAGTGGGGTAATACGAAATTTCTCTTGTCTCAGCTCATGCCTGGGAAGAATCCGGCATACCAACCGGTTCAAAAGTCGCGAAGCTATCAAGAAGCCATTTCGCTTTTGGAGATCTCTGACCCCGAGATTGTGGCGAAGGCAGCAGAGATCGATCACATTCTTGGTCTGGGAACTCCACAAACGACCAAAGCAGATATCAAGCGACAGCACAGACAGGAGAACCGAGAGAACCATTTAAAGAAACAAGAAAAGAAGAGAATCCTGGAACAAAGAAGTGACGAGAACGAACACATTCACCAGGAGCGGAACAAGAAGCAAAAGGGCGAAATCGCAGCAGAGAATGCAGGATTCGATGGAGTTGGCCAGGGTGCTTTGGCGGTAACAGCGTGAGCTGGCAGTGACAGTGTACGTCCATGAGCACCGATTCTCAAAGTCTGGAATCGCTTTTGATCCAGAACGAGACCACCACTTTCGTTGCACCACGCCTGAATCGGCATGTACGCCCGTTCCCTGGGTTTCTACAAGACATGCAGAAAAATCTGGTGTCACGGAAACGTCTCAAGGCATCGAAGGTCCGCACATGGGGAGATAGGAGAGATCCGAGGTCGCTTGATCTGCTCCCGAGCAAGATCTATCGAGACGGATTGTGATTCTCTGAGATGCTCCGTTCAACAAATTGACGGCCCTTAGCTCACGAAATGACTCTCGCACCACCATCATATGGGAAGAGAGAGGTCTAAAAGGCATTCGGAGCTTTGGCCCTTTAGCGAATGACCTTGCCTGGGCCATTCACTCGAGCCGAATGCGCGGAGACACCACGAGGCCTGGCCAAATAGTCTTCGGAAGATACGTTGAACCATTGAGTAACACAACCTCTGTGTTCCACTTTGGCCTGTATACAAGACATAATCCCACTTCATGCTTTTCCTGCTCTGAAACACAATTCACAAGGATTCTGTCACCAAATTATATGTACAACAGCATAGAGAGATGGACATAGGTGTGAAGGCCCAGAATTCTGTTTGATACATGCTGATTCTTCTCCCAAAAGTCATCTTTTCTCGCCAACGCCGCCATCCTGGAATCCATTGATGTTGAGGGACATATTCGGCATTGTCCCTTCAAGGGAAAGGTAGTATTCGCATACCGCCGTGCCTGCATTGACTTGGGCACCCGTCTGCCTTCCTAGGCTCTTGTGACATTTGAGACCGAGGTTGCTGTATTTTGTTCGACGTTGTAAGGAGCAGGGATTGTACGCTGGCGCGAGCTTGAATGCCATGCTGGGTGCGCCATCGACCTCCGATGGTCTGGCTCCAGGACAGACCACCCGCGAGACCATCCACCTCATAGTACGCTTCAGAAAGGTTTGTATACTCTCCGACATCGAGACCCTCATCAGCCGGCCAGCTCCTCCTTTCTTGCCAGTACTCTTGCGTGCCTGTCAACTTCCTCCACAATATCGGTTAGCGTGACCTTCTCTCCGGATCCCTTCTTCGAAGAAGCCTGTTGCGGCGCCTCGGCACCCCATGAGTATTTCACGACTTTGCCGTCTTTGAATCCGAGTTCCAAGGTGCTGGGTTCGGAGGAGCTTCGGGGGAGTGCAGTAGAGGAGATCTTGAGAGTTTTGTGAGCATCGGCGGGCAGGAGGGTGAGGAACAGCCGGGGAATTTTGGATGATGCACTGAATGGGTTGAATCTCGCTTTTAACGAGGTCAAATATGTCGTTATCATGTTTGCGGATCAACGGGTGGCTTGTTACGTATTTTCTTGGAGGAAAGATATGGGCGCATTGGAATTGTTCTCGGAAAAAGGTCGCTAGTCCGTAACCCTTCGGCAGACCTGCCCGTTTTTCAGCTGTTTGCTCTGTTTGCACCGTATGCATCGCCTTTCTGGATACATGTCAACCTTCCAAACAGGCACGAATCCCTAGTTGTCATTGTGTGCAAAGATGTCCCTCTCCCTCTCACAACGCCTTCAAGCGTTGGCAGACTCCTTCAAAGAGATATCCTCCCAGATCCAAGAACTCCGCAAGTTCTCGGCCAGCTCATATTCTACCGGCGATCCAGATGAACGACGTCTCGAGCTCGCTACCGAAATCCATGACGACCTTAAGAAACAAGAAGATAGGTTAGACATCCTGAGGCAAGAATTTGAAGACGATGCCATTCCGAGCCATCGGCGAGACCTCTCGAGCCGAGAAAGCGAGCGGGAAAGAAACGCCGACTTGTTGGCGCGACTCACAGAGGATCTGAAGAGCGCGCGGGCCAATTTTCGAAAAGCGCAACTTCAAGCGAAGAGGACTGCAGATGCAGAGAAGCGGAAAGAGAGAGAGCTGTTGTTTGCAGACCGGAAACAGGACGGCAAACAGCAGTCGCGGGGAAGACCTACACACGAGAAATTGACGCAGGACGAACTGGCCCTTCGGGCAGCAGAAGACGTTACCATCGCGTTGCGGAGAGTACACCAACAACTCGAGGGAGAGCTATCAGTCTCACAGTTCGCTCAGCAGACTTTGGAAGAGAGTCAACAGGCACTGGACAGCTTGGCGCAAAGCTATGCGGGAACCACAGACTTATTGAAAGCAAGCAGGGGGTTTCTGGGCCAGTTAGTACGGAGCAACAAGTCCGACACTTGGTTTCTGAGGTCCTCCTTCTATCTACTTGCTGTCACGATATGCTGGCTCTTCTACAGACGGATCCTCTATGGCCCTCTGATGTTGTTTATTTGGTGGCCTTTGCGCATGATGTGGTGGGTCACTTTGACAAGTATGGGAGCTGTGGGACTGGGAGGCAGATCCGATCCTATGACATCGCCTGCTGCAGTGCCCTCTCTCACAGTCTCAATGCCTGGCATGAATGCGAGGGGCATGCCAACACACAAGTCTGGCATTTATTTCAAGAGCATGGAACTCCCGGCGAAAGGGGGAGGTGGAAGAGGGCCACCACCAGAGATTCCCCAGCAATACTCACACGAGGGAGCTGCGAGTGATATCATCAAGGAAGTTGAAAGAATAGTCGAAGACCAAGGTACAGATGTAGACGATATCACCGATGAAGAAAGAAAGGCACAACAAGAACAGCCGCGAAACACGTTGAAGAGGATGATGGAAGTTGACGTCGACCGAGTGAGGGACGAGTTATGATTGATGCTATGATGAATTTGGGTTGTGCAGACTCTATTGTAGTTTCTTGGACAACTCTTGTGCCCTGCCTGCTGAAGACGACCTCCTGGATCGCTCAGCCTCGTCTCATTGTGCTGACATCATTTTGTGCTATACCACTCAACACATCCTCAGGTGCATAGACTAGGACTCTTATCTGGTATATCCCTCAGGAATCACCTGGGGGGGAAATCTGCTTGGATATTCTGGTCCTTTGGCTCATAATACTTTGGAGTAGTGCTTGACTTGTACGAGGTATGGTTATTGGTATCACGTGCGTTCCTGGGAGAACATTGCCAAGCTAGAAGCCACTTAACGCGTCCTTCATCCCCGGGACGCGTCCCGCACCGACAACTTTTGGAGGTAATCCGTCATCGAATAACCCAACTACAGACACCCCCCATCGCAACGTTTGGCAAATATAAGATGGCGAACTTCTTCGACCGCAACCGCGCTGCGGTGTCAAGCTCCAAGAATGCCGGCCCTAAGTCGGCCGTCGAACAAGCCCCTGCCGCGCAGCCGTGGACGGAGAAGTATCGACCAAAGAGTCTGGAAGAAGTCAAGAGCCAGGAACATGCCACCGAGACCCTTCGTCGGATGGTCAACGCCTCCAACCTGCCTCACCTCCTCTGCTACGGCCCTCCGGGAAACGGCAAGACGTCCACGATCCTCGCCCTCTGCCGAGAACTGTTCGGCCCCGAGCTCATGAAATCGCGCGTCCTGGAACTCAACGCCTCCGACGAACGGGGTCTCTCGGTGATCAGGGAACGGGTAAAGCAGTTCGCGTCACTACACCTGACGCATCCGTTCTCCGACGAATACCGCAAGAAGTACCCGTGCCCCAACTTCAAGGTCGTCTTGTTGGACGAGGCGGACCAGCTCACGCAGGATGCGCAGGGGGCGCTGAGGCGGGTGATGGAGATTCACAGCGCAACCACCAGATTTGCGCTGTGCTGCAACTACGTCTCGAGAATCATCGACCCCATAGCCTCCCGGTGTTCCAAGTTTCGGTTCAAAGCCCTTGAGGGATCCGAGGCGGTCGCGCGGATTGAATCGATTCTCAAGGCGGAGAATGTGAAATATGAAGAGGGCGTCATTGAGAGGACTCTGAAAGTGTCGGACGGGGATCTTCGACGTGCCATCAATCTCCTTCAGAGCGCCGCCCGACTGGTTGGTGCTTCGGCCTCAATACCAACCTCCAACGGCCACAAGAAGAGAGTGGTCGCGGATGAATCAGATGAAGAAATGGAAGATGTCGATACCGCCAAATCGAAACCTTCTCCGTCAAACAACATGATCAAGATCTCCGACATCAACGAAATCGCAGGCACATTCCCCCCGAACCTCACAGACAACCTCATCCAGATCCTCCAGAAGGGCAACTCCCGAAACTATAACAACATTGCGTCGGAAATCACCGACATCGTCGCCAGCGGCTATGCCGCCAACGAGGTTCTTTCTGCTCTGTATTCGGCCGTGGTGCTTGGGGAAGACGACGTGGCCGTCAACGGCAAGGAGGACGCTGCCATGAGGAAAAAATACAAGCTGACGGCCATCTTCTCGGAGTTTGACAAGAAGCTGGTTGACGGCGTCGACGAGCATCTCGCATTACTCGACATGAGCTGTCAAGTTGCGGGCGTACTGGCTGCTTGAACCACAGGATTACTGAGAGGCGGCTTTCGTTACATGACTACCTACTGAATGAGGCGGATATTGATAGATGTTAATTATGCCTGCATCAGCGATGGCGTTTGCGGTATCCTTTTCCAGACAGACAGACCGGACTGGCATGTGGGATGGACTGGGCAGGGAATGGGGAAAAACACTGATTTAGGGGGCATACACAGGGAAGGAGATTGTACCATGTGACACGACTTTTTGATTCGTCGTTTCGAAGGACATGTGGGAAGAGGGAGGCTTGCTCGGATGTGGCATGATTAAAAAGGCCAGAAGGGAGATGGATATCTACACCGATCCCGGTGCCCGGATGGCATGGAGATGGTTTCCGAGAGAGAGTGTGTGTCTCTTGCTTGACATTCTATGTAGGGATCAACTCTCTGCGATTCCGCGCATGTTCCCTATCCGTCCAATGTCGCTGTCTGTCTACAAATTCGAGCACCTTTCCACCCGCGCCACAAACTGATTGCACAAATCACCCCCGTTCCTATTGTCGCTGCGTCTCAGCAACGCTCTCCACGATTTCCATATGCCCCATGCCGGAGAGCCCAGACCCGTGACGATATCGCAGTTTGGATTCATTCGTCTTGTCAGCCAGTGATTCGATTTCGTGAACAACCACTGGTCTCACCTCCCTTGCTGTCCATTTCTGTTCTCTTCCCCGTTTCGACCCTAGGGGTGATTCACCAGGGACCCTGAACTCGCGACAAATACAATGATTTGAAGTCCGGATTCACTGACGGAATTCAGAGTGTCCGAGTCGCTTAGAGCCGCGTAGTAGAATGGTTGAATATACCCTTACAAAGCATGTCGAGTCTGCAATGTAGTTCTCTCGTCCTATATATTCTTGTTTTTTCTCTTTTCTGGTAGCTGCTTTTCAACTATTTGCGCCCAAATGTGATATTGTTGGTTAGATGATAGGTTGACAATCTTGACGAGGACTCTGTGTCGATTATTCGATGTAAATTGGTCGTGATATGCTTCTGCATGGCTGATTCGATGCAGGCGCTCGATAAACATTGACTGGAAGAGCTCCATGTCGCTCAGGTTTGGTGGTGAGGGATCACTCCAAGGAGATATCTGTGAGCAGAACTAGTATCTTGGGGGTTTGTCAAGTTCAGCCAAGGTTCCCATCAGGACTGAGCCAGAGCCGGACTGTGTCTTCTTGGGAGGTTTGGCTTTGTTGATCGGCCGAGTTGATCCGCTCCTCTGAGATTCTTCAACCTCGGGTCGACTCTCTTCCCGGGATACTGGTTGGACAGTCTTCTCGTTTGGTCGGGCCTGATTGACCTCCACTGGTGTCTTCATGGCCTTGCTTTCTGCTGGCCCCGTATCGGGCGTGTTGCTCGTTCCGGACTCACCGACGACAACGCTGACGACGGCGTTTGCTTCCGTCGCCGTGGTTTTCTATGTGCTCGTTAGCTACTGGGGAGGCATTGAGCATAATAAAGTCATTGGCAGCGCATCAAGGAGACTTGCCTGTCTTTTCGAGAGCTGCTCATCCTCGACATGCTCCCCGTCTCTCACCCGCTCCTCGGGTCCACACTCAACATACTTACGCTTGGAATGATGTTCCGGTATGCCTTTCTCCGACTGGGCTCGTGTCGCCGGATCTTGTGTAAGGGTCGATGCTGGTGTGGATATGGACAACGCGGTCGACGCATGAGACCTGGAGTTGTCAGTGCCTCCAGGGCTACCATCTGCAATTTCAGGCTGGCTTTCTGTTGCTGCTTGGACCACAGAAGCCCGACTGTCCTGTTCTGGGCTGCGTTCCTGTTCGAGAGCTGGAACCTGAGCGGCTGGCTCTCGGTCGGTAATTACCGGCGATTTACAAGTATGCTGGGCTTCGTCCTCGTAAACCGAGCCAGCATCTTCGTGGGGAGTCTTCGCCTCTGTAGACAGGAGCTGCGTCTGGTCTCTTTCCGCGCTTTCAGATACATTGCGTCTCTCGCCGAGACAAATGACATCGTGGTCCACTGGTGCCCCGTTCTGCTCGGCAGTTGCTGAACACTTTGTTGTGTGCTTCTGCTTTTCTGAATTCCTGGTCGTCTCTTGACTGCCCTTTGACAGGTTTCGCCAGCAGGCTTTCTGCGCTTCCGCCTCTGCTGCCTTCTCCGTAATCTTTGTTCTAGTGCGGAGACCATAGGATTTTTTCGCAAGGTCTGTAGCCTCCCGCATTCTCAACTTCTGTTGACCTGCTTGGCTGGTGTGCGGCACTGTGCTTCCCGACATCAGTTCGCGAGGTTCGACGGACTTTCTGCTTTCCGCGTAGTGTTGCACTTCTCTGTCTGGATCCGCGTTTGCCGAATGAGAGTTGGAGATCTCCTGTGAAGTCGACTTACTGTTCCTCACAATCCAAACCGTGCCCTGGAGAATGACGTTTTTCGTATCGTAGCTCTCGCCGTCTTTATTCCCGTATCTCTCGACCATCGGTGCCACAACCAAGTCGAGAGGCTGACCCACAAGAGCTTGTGCCTCGTTGGGATTCTCTTCGTCATTTTCATCAATGCCGAGAGCTTGGTGTAGCTGAAATCGACCGTCATCCCAGGTGAATTTTGGCTTGGACAGGTCGTCTAGAAAGACGAACTGGATGTTTGGATACTGCATGTTGAGAACACACGACAACCGCATAGCTTTCTCTACAACATCAAACACTTGATGGTCCCTCCCGTCTCGCTCCTCATTTGTAACATCTCGAAATAGGATACCCATTTTTTGGATGAGACTCGACGCTATATGCTTGCATCGTTCTTTTTGCGCAAAGTCCATGGCTTGCTGTGTTCGAGATTTAACCCAATGATTTTCCACTGCTGGACTATCGCTGATGGCGCGGAGAATTGTAACCCTCACCTTATGCTGGGAATCGGGAGACTCTGTTCTGCGTTAGCTGTTTGACGACACATATAACGAACTGCACAAACTCACTCTTCTCGGCACCATTCATAACCTCATTTAATATCACTTCAATCAGATCGACGTCTCGACCATGTAGACCTAACTGGAGGTGTGCAAAAGGCCTGGCAAATGTTTCGGCGCAAATCTCCTTGTTGATGAATGCACTCAAGACTATCCTCGGCGGGATCGTCGCGTGCTGGACCGCTAGCAGGAGCTTTTCAGTGGCAAAAGGTCTCGTCATTGTGCTCGAGAGGCTTGAGAAGACCTCCAACACTGTTGCCCGGTCGACTTCGCGCCAATCTGAAACGCTCCATGTCCTTGAGAGATCCCCAACATCGCGGAATATATCCCTGAATTTGTTTTCCAGATCGGGATCCAGTTCAACCTCTTCCTTGTCTTTGGACATAAGCCCCAGCCGATCGTTCAAATAGCTGTCTACCTGTCGCTTTAGCTCTCTGATTTCCGCCCGCGCTGAATCCAAATCCTTCTTGTGTTTCAGCGTTTTCTGCTTTTCCCTGCGAACTTCCTTCTCCCACTGCCGCTCTGGACTAGCTGTAGCATTTATCCCCTTAAAGGAGGGTATTGAAGACGGATTTTCTTTCTTTCGTCGGTCCAATTCCTTCTTGTCTTTTGGAGGATCTTGTTTCTTTCCTCGATTCCCCTTGGTCACCCTGCCTGTGGGGGGTGCGGGTTTTCCGTAGCTGGGATCTGATCCACTGCTATCACTGAAGTCTTCGTCATCTGACCCAGCAGTGTTGTTAACCAAGGTGCCTGATTTCCTTGGTGGTGGAGGGTCTCTACTTCTCGTTCTGCCCTGGGAACGAAGTAACATTTTTGCGGAAGTCGTGCCAGCAGTCAGTGATGCCGACGATGTTTCTTGCACTCGGCTCGGTCTCTCGACTTCCGGATTGCTACCACTCTTTGCAGGTGCCATAGTCATTCTGAAGTGTTGCTAATTGTGTTGTAATGACATAGAGAAGTGAAAGCGACCTGGCACGCCTGTAACAGATTACCTCTGCTGTCCGGTAAAGAGAGAGATAACAAAGTAGATGATAGTGTAAGTCAGGATCAAGGTATACTGAGAGATGTGCTTCCGGCAGTGTGATGATTGTGAGTTGATCTGAGGAGAGATAGAATCCTCATCTGAGCGATAGACAATTCCATCTTGAGGTAAGCCTTTCGAAGCATGTGAAAGTGGCTCATCTCTAACATATAAAACCAATTCTCCTTCCTCTCCAATCTCTTTTTCTTCGTGCACCGTCGTACTCTCTTTGCTCCGGAGTAGCTTCATTATCCGATAACTTGCCTCCCACAAGCGCCCATATCTCAGATTGCTTTGTGCTATCTCATCATCCCTAGGCCAGCATTTGGTTCCACCAACATGGCGCCAGCATACAAACCCTTGGGGATCCGAGACCGTATGTCAATCGGGCATTGTTCGTACTCCGATCAACTGACATCAATCTCAATCCCAGGGAGAGGCAAAGTTCAGGCTCCCGGTAGGACACCAACTTCGAAGAGGAAACGTGAAGGTGAGTGTGATACGGAGCAGATTTCAAACCGGACTGACCTGTGGTGGAGACCGAGGCAGTCGGAAAAAGAAGGCAGCAAAACCCCAGCGAACGCCAGAAGACCCCGATAAGCCCAAAAAGACTCAGGAGTTCTTGAGTGTAGGACTGGACATTGGAACAACAGCTTCAGGTATGTGTCCAATGGGTTGTTTGATATTTGTGTGCTAAAGATCCCAGCCATTGCGTATGCGGCAAGCATCGCGTCACCAGAGGAGATTTGCGTTCTTGACAACTATGAAGGCCACGTTGTTGTGAAGGTGCCAACAAGAATGGCTTATGCCGCGGAAAACGACTTCAGGACAGATAAATGGGGCTTTCAGGTGAAGAGCGGAATGCAGATTTGCAACTGGCCGAAGCTCCGACTCGACGAAAACACGAACAAGGGAGATTTCGACGATCCTCTGCTTCAGCAGGCCATTGGGGAGGGTCTCATGCACATACCTGATGGGAAGACTGCCTCCGAGGTTATCGAGGACTTTGTCTCCAACCTCCGAGAATACTGGCTTCAACGTTTGGACAACACCATCCTCGAGACGGCCGTAAAGCATGCCCGGAAACGCATCTGCGTTCCAGTTCCGACCACATGGTCGCCAGCGGCTCGGGAAGCCACTCGTCAGGCGGCAATTAAAGCCGGATTTGGGGAGGGTAAGCGTGACGAGATTATCATCATCGATGAGAGCGAAGCGGCTGCTCTGGATGTGATTAAATCGCTGGAAAAATCTTCCGATGCAGATCAGTTGGAGGTAAGTGCGGTCTCGTGGATTTCGACCCGAGTATTATCTGACAAGAAGGTAGGAGGGAGTGTGTGTCATGGTGATAGACTGTGGAGGAGGCACAATCGACAGTGCTTCGTACAAAATAACCTCTTCCAAGCCTTTGCAGCTAGAGGAGGCTTGTGCTGGCGAAGGTGGTATTGCCGACTGATGCCCAAAGGGTCGTTGCTGACATCAAATTCAGGTGCGAAGATAGGGGGAACAAGCATCGACCGGGCCCTCCATGCCCTGATGCAAAAACATTTTGGCGTCGCATTCAGCGGACTCCCGATCACCAAGGTAGCAGCGACCAGTCACTTCATGCGGGACTTTGAAACACACAAGCAAAAGTATGATGGCCAGACTGAGAACAAAGATCTCTGGCTCCGCCTCAATATGAAGAAACTGGATTATGAGGACGAGAACATTCGGAATCGCTATGATTTCATGGACCTGGCTGCGAAGATCACAAGGTGTTTTCTCCCGGACTTCCTCCACTGTCAGCTATTGTCTCAATCAATCGACCTGCTAACAGAAAATAGTGCCGATATGCATGATATGTTCGAGCCTGTGATCCAGAAAATATTCCACATAATTCGTGGACAAGCCTGTCGAATCGCGAAGGCCAGGCCGGCTACTTCTCTTCGAGTAAGTTGCGAAATGGTTAGACAGTCATGCGGGCTAATATGCGACAGATCATCGCAATGTGTGGGGGGCTTAGTTGTAACCCGCATATCTTCAACCAGGTCAAGGCCTTTGTCGGCAACTTGTTCGAGGATGATTCCATCAAAGTTTTCGCTCCTCGTCAGCCATTGACGGCCGTGGTTCGAGGAGCGGTGCTCGCCGCGCAGGGATGCTCGCCTATTGTGAGCCGACGATCACGGGAGTTCATTGGCACACAAATTCACCGCGCGTGGGACGAAGCCAAACATAGGCCTGAAGATAGGTTCGAGTGTCCAGAGCGTGGCTCGAGGGCCAAAAACCAGATGGAATGGATAGTCAAAAAGGTGAGCAGGATAGTCCGGCCTCCGATTATGCTAACCGCAGAAATAGGGCCAGAAGCTGAAGCCTGATATGAAGGCGAGAGTGAGATGCTATTATGTTCTGGAAAACGCGCGTGCCGAGGTCAAAGAGGCGGTGATCGATCAGGTTCTGTATAGGTGTGCAGAAGATATCGCTCCATCTCGGGTGGACGATCCTGGTGAGTTGCCTCTATTATCGTTGAAAAGAAGCTGACACAATGTAGCAGTCGAGGAGATAGGCGTGATCCGAGTGGATATTACCAACATTGCACGTTGCAAACGCGCAGAAGCCAGGACTAGTGTTAAAACCTATCCCCGCTACATTGCCATTGATGTGGATATCGAACTCACCATGTCAAGTTCCAAGGGCGTACTCGAGGCTGTAGCCAAGATCGGACGGACAAAGGTGGGAACAACCACTATTACATACTCACCGGCTCCGGCGTGGGAGCATGGTCTCATTCGAAGGGATGAGGACGAATGAGGGGATTGCTCGATCAATGACCTTGACGACTACGGACGCAACCGGCACAGAAGATCTTTGCCTCAGATGGGCTGTTTTCAGAGAGTTGAACAGCTTGAGGGGGAGGGTTGCGTTGAGAGGCTGACATGACGTTTGATCTTGGAGCAGGGCCACAATGGCAACGGCAGAGCCTTTCGACGATATGGAGCAAGATATTTTTGGAAATTCGAGCAGCCGGTCGTGCTGCGCATTGTTGTGCATGGAGCTGGACGTGTCGTGATGGAGAAGGAACTTTGTGTGCAAGTTGGCAAGCCATATTGTTTCCAACCTCAAACATGGCTGTGGTTGACCTTAGGACAGCGACGGAACAACAATATTCCTTGGTTCTAGTGGTGCTTGGCAATTTGGCAATGTTGGAGACACGTGAGAGGCTATTTACTCGGTGAGAGAGCTCGACAGGTACATCTGTACATAGCTGGCCAGATATGGCTCCTCCATTTCGGAATCTCTCAAGCAATTTATTTAGTCTCGATGAGTAAGCTGAAGCAATTCTCGATTACATGAAGCAAGGTAAAGTGGAGGGGGACAGGGAGTAGTACTAAAGCAGCCGGTCAATGACTCCATACTGGGCTGGGGATCAAAGTGAGAACCCACCCAATGCGGGATGACCCCAAATACTCATAGAGCGGCATGACTCACAGCCAGGCACGGAACTGGGGTCAAGCAAGTCGCTCCAGCAATAGTGAAACTGCGCAGTTGTGGCAGTCCAACAGCGACAACTATATGAGAGCTTCTTCATCACAGAGAGCTCTCATACGAACGCGACAATGATACTTTGGCGTCTCCATCATTCTCTTCCACAGGTTTGGGAATGAATAATACGACCGAGAATGACGGTTCTTTCGTCCCTTCGCTCACCCTGGAACGCAGGCTCGAGATTCCAGATCAAAAGAAACACTATCTCGATTCCCTACTCCGCTTGCTGGACTCCTTGATTTTTGTCCACCTGGGTCTCCTCTATGTATGCGACAATCTTACATTCCTCCTCGTCATGCGCGCGTTGAACCAAGTGGTCCACGTTCAGCATCGGCCGGCGGCTATCACACCTGTCATCGTGGTAAACCTCATCTGTGTCGTGACACATCTCCTACAGAGCAGGTCGGGGATCAAGCGACTCCATGGAGGCATTATCGTGGACTTCGTCGGTGAAGTCCCAAGATCGCGGACATCTGTGCTGATATTGGACTTGATACTCTTTTCTCTGCAATTGGTTATGCTCGTGGCCGGGCATGAGAGACAAATTGCTTCTGGAGATGCTGTCGCACGGGAAGAGTCAGAGCCGCAGGACCTGGAGTCCGAAGAAGCCGGGCAGTTGAGGTCACGTGCTCATGCTCAAGTGGAAGAGTCAGAGGACAGGATCGAGCTGCAAAGCCTCTTGCCCGATGGGAGGGGGGAAGACGGTCCAGCCCACCAGAAACAACCAGAATCGACACAAGATGACGACGATGTAATATTACTGGATTTGAAGAAGGGCATCAAGGCGCTACTCAGAAGACCAATTCCTGTGGCTTCGCCTACTGCCCTTGAAAATGCTCAAGCTCGTGCAAGCGTCGCCGCATTCTTGAGACTCGCTGCTGCGAGGGCAAGGGCGGGTTGAAGGCGCCGGCTCCGAACGGGGAAGATGTCAATTTGTTCGGAGTGTCCAAAGCCTGGCTAGCCATAGTTGAGCGGTATTCAATGATCCTCGAAGACATTTTCGATCCATGCTGCGGCACGATCACCTCCCAGACCATCACTCATCTCTACCGGTCATAAAGCTCAATAGTATTCAAGGGTCATGGTTGCAACTCTGGAAGGTACGCATGTTGGGGTGGTTGAGCTATCTAAACGGAGACAGTCATTCCATGGCGACACACCCGAACGACCATTTCTCATTCACCCCTCATTTGCACTCCACAATGCTGAAGTGGAAGAAATCGAGGGGACAGAAATCAAGACAGCGCTCCGTCTCAAAAGGTTGTGATATGTGTCGAGAGCTGTTATATGACTTGCCTCGCTACCCAGTCATGAATTCGACCCCCGGATGAGAAAGTCCTCGAAAATCAGGCAGCAAAGCAACGCTTTGAACTGGTAAAGCCACAGCACAATCAAACATGCAGCATCAGGGTCAACGGAGTTCCTACGACACCATATTTCTCGGCCTTGTCCGTTCCGGTATAGAATTCTCTCTTACAGGGCGTGGCCTAAGAACTGTACAGAGCATTGAGAAAAAGTACCTTGATCTGTAGAACCTAATAAGGCTCGGTTAGACACGGATATCTACTTCCCTTGTCGCTCCTGTTCGTAGCATAAATGTGAAATGTGAAGGAATGGATCGCTCTTCTGCCTGGAGCCTTATGTCCCGTTTTGTCGAGTGCTCCGCCGTGCTCAGCCTTGCGCGAGGTGGTGCAACGTCTCGGGGAAAATCAATTGTCCAAAAAGCCCAAGCCCAAGCTCCCACCTTCTACTTCGCCCATTCCTCGACAGCGCCCTTCAACTGACTGCGCTGCGACAACAGAATGCGCCATCTTCTCCGGGCAGCGCCCCAGCTATCTGCACGGGTGAGCGCGCGGGCGGGATGCAGTATTCGTGGTGCTGCGGCGCTGCAAAGCCCGGCGGTGCAGAGTCGACAATATTCGAGATCGACACCTTCGCGATCCTGGCTACCGGTTCCGTTTGTGTGAGTTGTCTAGCCTTTCTCGTTCCCGGGCCCCTGCTGGGAGAGGAAGATGAAGCTGACGTGGAGTCCGTTACTCGTTGGTATCCGTACAGCACCGAGACAGTTGCGGGCCTGACGCACACGACGGACCTTTTCTCGCGGCTGCTCAAGGAGCGCATCGTCGCTGTCTACGGCGAAGTCGACGACCGCATGGCCGCCACGGTCACCGCGTCCCTCCTGTACCTCGAGGCCGAATCTGACCGTCCCATCTCCATGTACATCAACTCACCTGGCGGGAGCGTGACGGCCGGACTCTCCATCTACGACTGCATGAACTACATCGTCCCCGAAGTGTCGACGCTCGCGCTCGGCCAAGCCGCCTCGATGGGCAGCCTGCTCCTCGCCGGCGGCGCCGCGGGCAAGCGCTACTGCCTCCCCCATTCGAGCATCATGCTCCACCAGCCCAGCGGTGGCCACTACGGCACCGCGGCGGACATTGCCATTCACGCAAAGGAGATCCTGCGGATACGTGCGCAGCTGAACGGCATCTATGAGCGCCACTTGACGGGGAAGAAAAAGATGACAGTCGACGAGATCGAGAAGATGATGGAGCGCGACTACTTTTTGAGCGCCGAGGAGGCCCTGGAGATGGGCGTCGTCGACGAGATCCTGTCCAGCAGGAAGAAAAAGCCCGAGACGACGAATGAAGAGACCTGAAGAGACAATGGGCTTTGATTTGATCAGGTTTGCGAGAAAACCAATTGTCGGGATTCAATGCCGAAAAAGATACATACAACCGGCACTTCGCCCACCTCCTTGAAACGCGATGCGGTACTCGGGCAGGGCAGTTGAATGACTGTACAACACAATGTATATGCTTCAGGCAGCAGTCCGAGGCGGTGGCCTTTTGATGTTCCAACCATCGCCTCTCAAAATTGCACAGCACTGTCGGGGATCCGGACCTCGGAAAAATCGCCACTCAGAACCAGGCTAAATGGAAAGCCGTCCCACACAAGGGCAAGGGAAGGGAATTGGCCATCCTAGGATTGGGCAAGCACAGTAGCGGAGCAGATGCTCAAAAGAACGATTAGTGGACGGAAGCTGAAGAGAACAAACCCCATCATTGATGAGAGAACTGAGATGACTACAAGGCTATGTAAAGCTCAAAAGCTCCTTCTCGAATTTCATAAAACGCTGGAGTCCTCTCACTCAGAAACACATGTATGTATAACTACACCAGATACGCAACTCACGCTTCGAACTTCGCAACACTGTTGTAAATAACGTGGCCTGCTCTGTTCCCAACTGTGGAAAAAGGTTGGCAAAATCACTTCCAGACTTTGGTGCACAAGGTTCTGTCCTCCTTGAAAATGAGATAGATAAATATATCAAGCACATGGGATGATGGGAAAAACCACGCGGGTGCAGACTGCCAATTGACGCTCACGTTCTTTTTCGAAAACCAAACTCCTTCAAAAATCGCTCAACGTTCGAACGAAGTAGAAATCGTCTCTTCATTAAATCGTGCTCATCATAAAACCTCAAGTCGAGGAAGGATGTTGTGCTTCGGGAGGCCTTTCAACGTCAATGTCACCAGGTACCCCGTCGGGCAGGCGTGGAACTCCGGCTAGGATTAGGTGATATTCGCCTCCGTTTCACCAGGAGCTTTTCGTTTTCAGTGTCGTCGTCGTCGTCGTCCTTTGATACGTCAAGTTCTTCGATTACTTGTGCTTTGGTATCCTGCTCCAACGACTCAAGCATCCTGGTCCAAAAGAAAACATCCTCGGCATCTTGCATCATGTTTGCCATGCTTTGCTGTCTCTGGCAGATCTCAATCAGAACGGATTTTGACAGCTCGTTGTTGTTCTGCACATATTTTAGTGCTGTGTTGAAACTTCGGCGTGCATCTGCATAGCGCCCCTTGGCATGTTGTTGTCGCCCAAGTCTGCGATAAGCAAGTCCTACCCGCCAGAGATCTATGCCTCCTGGAATCTCTCGCAAGGTCGTCAATCTCCGTTGGACTTGGGAACAGATCTCTTCGGCTTCATCATATTGATCCTGGGCGACAAGTCTGTAAGCTTGCAGGAGCATAAAGTAGACGGAAAGCCCAGGAGACACGGCATCAACTTCTGAGATCTGTGGTAGCCATTCTGTCAGATCTGTGTCTGGATCGTACCATAGCAGGTCCAGAGCTCGATTAAGTCGAACCTCGTACAAGAGCTTGTTACGCTTGTCGATTCGCGTCTTGAGACCGTCGTACATAGAGCGGGCAGCACGGGGGTATAGGTCTCGTAGCTGTTCAACCTCAAGTTCGCCGAAGACGCTGAAGAGGGCATGGCGGGAATCTTTTGGATCCAAAAATGTATGCGCCCATCGTCTGACACTTTTCAAGAGCAATTCGGCAAGCTGCCGGTGGCCACTGAAAGCCACCCGACCCACTTCGAAAAGTAGGGCCATCGGTATCTCGTAATACCAGGACTTGAACAATTCGGAATTCTGGAAACCTGCAAAGGCCTTTCCCCACTGTGCCCATGCGAGGTCCTGCTTCCCATTCTCGAAAAGATTGATACCTGCGGTTAGACTCGATGATAGGAGCCGCGATGCCTGGCGCCCCCGGTTATGCTGGTTAGAAGACATAACATCCCAATCACCGTGGACAAATGCATCATGTGTCCAGCCACGTAGGTTGAACAGGAATTGCTCGGCGACACTGGCAATGCGAAATCCCTCCGGCGACGGAACGACAATAGTCTGTAGTGCTTCTGTTGGCTTTGAATATGGCACTACCGCTTCAGAAGCTGGAGAAGGTGGAGGCGACGAGGCTGCCGGTGATAACTCTGAAGCAAAAGGAGAAGCTTGTGGCTGGGATGATTTGCGACTCCGTTTCCGCTTCAATGCACGTTCAGCTTTCCTCTTCAGGGAATCCAGATCCAAGTCTCTGCTGGTTTTTGGGACCTCCCCCTCCATGATCTGCTTAGCCTCGCCCTCCTTGAGGTACTTTCGCAAACCCCATTGTTTGATCTTGTTCTTATACATCTTCTCACTGAGGGGCTACGTTTAGTACCAGAATGACACTGTCTAGGGCCGGAACTCACCTTGCCCATAATCCATGGTGCTCCCTCATGATCTTCATAACCTCAGGCAGAGGACGATTGTCTTCGAGGTACAGGTGAGTGAAGATCGGTCGAAACCTCTCCCAGTCAGCTCCCGAGGGAGCGCGCCTCTGGTCTCTACCAGGAGATGCCATCAATTCAGAAATTGCTAGTTGTGCACGATTGCGGAGTCATAGAGTTGATGGGGGAGGCAAAAAGTCGAGAAGGGCGGATCGAGCACTAAATCAGAAAGACAAATCCAAAGGAGGCTCAGCGGGCTTAGTTTCCACACGAGGCTATATCGCACAGAAGAACAAGTTGAACACCAAAGGGCCGTTGAGGGCGTTGAACTCAATAGGTAAGTAGCACGAGACAAGAGGAGGGGTTAGAGATGGGAAGAAATGAGGTTCGAGATGCGGCTGACCAAAGTTCCCTGACAAGTCTGCCAAGACCCAGTTTAGCCAAGACGGCACTAGCCGCTTGCCGCTGGAACGGTCGCACGCACATGACAGAACGGCGGAAAAAGCAGCGGCAAGTTTCCGGTCTGTGTCTGACAAGGCATTAAACTCTTCATCGTTCAGAGTTGGTTGTGAGAGTCAGCTGGATGGAGGCCGCAGTTTGCTTATTCCTGGTCTCCCTAGCTCTCATGCTAATACTGTCATCTCAGCTGCTCAGACAGACCTGTCCAACCCTCCCAGGAAAAAGAAAACACCATTTCGTCAATGGGGCACCTCAACCTCTTCTTGTACGATGGCCAATTTGTTGACGGGCAGGGGATTTTAAATGACTTCCAGAGGTCAGATAGGCAGCCATTGCGACCTCTGTGACAACTTGACCAAAAGCCCTGCAAGGAACTTCGGCGCATTTAAGCCACTCAGCCAGTCACGAGCCTGCGTTTTCCGAGCCTGGCCTCCCCCCCTTTGGCAACCCTTCACACACCATTGGGAAAGTGATGGCCTCATGGCCCCCTTTGCCCCCTTTGCCCCCGTCTAATGCGTGGAGTAGTCATCCCTCCCGTTTTGTGGCTTAGCACCACCGATTCCCATCACCTTTACCTCGTACATGTCGCGTTTGGACTTCATTGTCTCTTCCCTCTTCGTCGCATACTCAAAGCACTTCACTTTACATTGTGGAAGCCACCTGCGTCCGAATTTCTCCTCTAACCCACCGGTTTCGCATCTCTTCGTCTTAGATTGGTCCGATGAACGGCCATGGTGCAAGCTGCCGACGATGTCGACCACACCCTCATATCCAACCTTGCGGCTCGTCTCCAGCATCTCGCGGACGACGTAGAGCGAGTCTACGCCACAGGATCTCGAAATGTGCGCACAGTCCTGCGGCGACAGTATATCAACACCATTCATCCAACTACTGCTCGACCGCTATGTCGACTTCTTGGCGAAGATCAACTGATGAAAGCCCTCCGTCGGTTATCACTCAAACTTGCTCTTTTCACCCTGGCCCGCGTTTACGATGAATGCCATGTTGCTTTGTGTCGAGAGATCGCCGCTGCCCGGAAAGGTGAAATTCTTTACGAGGGCTTCAGACGAAATCCGTGTGTAGATCTGCGACTTCTTGCTGATCAAATTGGGTTGCATAAGGAGGTTGTTGACGACCAAATATTGCTGGAAACCACTTTTGATGATGTGGCGCCACTACGGGCCATGTGGAAGCCTGTCCATCCTATGTCCTTCGACAACCTGTCACCGTTGCATTCTCTTTCCGATCTGTTACCCGGTGAGCAGTGGCCTAGCCATGAGTATGCCGGTATCGGTGGGGGTGGAGGCTCGGATATCATTAGTGCAAGTTTGCTGGGGCACCTATTGCGACAGCATAAGAAGCAAATGGATCTTTTGGTCTCGACTCGAACTTGGGCGACGGGATCTCAGGGTAAGAAAGGGTCAAAGTTGGGGATCAAGCGTGAGGTATACAATCACGGTGGAGCAGTGGAAGCGCACGGGCGACCTGTCGCTGGAACTTTTCGAGTGAAAAATGACACTACCGCCGAGGGCCGCGATCTCGAAGCCATCCCCCTCCCCTATCATTCCCAGATATTTATGGTCCTCGACCAGGGCGAATCTAGGTCTCAGATTTCCGAGGACGACAAGGCCGATCTTACCGATCAATTTCATGCTGTGCTGGATCAGGCTCGGCGTCCAATAGAGACTGTTCTCATAGTAGACACAGGTGGTGATGTCTTTGGCGCCGATTCCAACGGCGCCACGACGCCAGATCAAGATTATCGGGTCCAGAAAGCAATCAACCGTCTCTCACCCGAGTACAATCTCGTGACGGTGGTGGTGGCTCCAGGTGTCGACGCTCCCAATGACGCGCCGCAAAAGGCCTCAAAAGCTGGTGGTGTGGTTTATAAGCCGACGAAAGATGAGAAACTGATGCTTCTTGATCTGCTCGCGACTAAATATAGAATGGACGGATCAGACCCCAACCGATTCGGCAAGACAACACTCGCGTTGCAGGCCCGATTGCGGGGAGTGGTTGGATGGACTTCGTTGGATCTGCCACATTATGTCATTGACACGTGGGAGAATCCCTGGAACAGCTTCGTGTACATCCGGGAGTGCATGAGCGACATTATTTTGATGCCAACACCAAAGCTGCTGCCACTGATTGAGCCGACAAGGGGAAAAGGAAGCCCATAACCCCGACTGAGGAAGGACATGGGTCTCGAACTACGCACTTAGCAGCTAGCAGCTAGCAACTGAACTGGTCGTGACGGACCCATGTGGCTAGGATCAAGAGGTTGTAGGAGCTGATATAGCGACAGAAACTCCCTCTGGACTCCTGGTACGCAAGGCTGCGGAATCCTCAAAACTCTTGGCAAGGCTGCCATTGCCGACCTCGTACCATTTTATCCTCCACAACTCTGTAAAATATTAAGTTAATGCACTCTTTCCGCTGTGTCACACTTTGAGAGGCAAATCCAATACACGATATCAAGACCATAAGTGTCACTAACATGGCGAACAACACTTTCGCGCCCTTATCGGAGGATGAATTGAACAAGCTGGCCAACTTGGCAATTGGGGCTAAGGCGAAAGCATACTGTGAGTGACAACACAAAACAAAGAATCAAGAGCGGAGAAAGGCCTAAGCACTGAATTGCTGCGCGCTCCGTCGGCTCTGACCTACCCGTTCCCCGAAGAAGAGAAGAAACATGGCCTACTTTTGGGCTGAATGAAGAGAATCTTGCCCGGCCGCTGTTTCCCCAGCCATCAGCCCTTTACCGTACGTTTGTCCAGATGGATCATCTGTTAACTCTGCCCCCCATCTTCTTCTTAGGCCCGTACTCCAACTTCCGTGTCGGCGCCTCTATTCTCCTCTCGGATGGGACATTCCACACGGGCGCCAACGTCGAAGTCGCTGCCACCCCCGTGGGCATCTGCGCGGAGCGGTGCGCCATCGCCCCGATCGTGGCCTCGATGCCCCGTCCAGATATGCCCGTCATCCGCGCCATCGGGGTCGCCACGGACATCTTCCCCCCGGCCTCCCCTTGCGGGATGTGTCGACAGTTTATCAACGAGTTCGCCACCTCGCGGGACTTGCCGATCTACATGTACGGTAAGGAGGGGCTGGAGGGGGAGGTGGTGCGTATGACCATTGGGGAGCTGTTACCGATGAGTTTCGGACCGAATGATTTGGATAGGAATCCAGGGAAGAGTGAAGGGGTGGGTTTAGGGAAGATACAGGAAGGGTAGGGGAAATACACGTAGAACTACTTCATTGAGCTATACACAGTGTGTACATCCCACTAGTTGAGGAAAATTTAAAAAAAAAAAAAATGACACCCAGTCATTTCAGATGGCAAAAAGATTCAAATTCCCTAGGTCTGGCGTCTATCTTACCTTTCCCCCTCTCAACTGGTCCCTCTCCTTGGAGGGATCACCAGTTGTCTTTCACGGTAGTCCCCTGTGGGCACTGTAGCCCCAGTTGAAGCTACAGTACCCATAGGGGGGGCTACCGTGGAAGGGTCGATGGATGATATGGCCTGAGACCTTCTGCTACCTATTGGCAACAGCGAAGCTCATACCATCCACCAACCGAGGGGGAAAGGCCCCGCCCGCCAAACCCGATAGAATGTGAATCCTTTTTATCTCGGACACATATCCCCTGGACTCGAAGTGGTAGCTTTTATGAAGGTCTCTTTATATCGCTGTTCGCCCACTTCTGGGTTTATATGTTGACCAAATTTGCGCAGACATAAAATATATCCCTGTGATTTTTGTGAGTGGAGACCTGGGGACGAACCTTGGCGGGAGGAGAGTGATACTGACCGCAAGAGGTGTAGGGGAGCGGAGAATGGGTGTGGCAGTACGGGGAGCATCAACATATGGGAATGGTAATAGTAGTCGTTTTTTTCGACACTTGGCCGTCATTCATCATTCATCTCTTGTTGTCTTGGTCGTTCATCATCGTGCCAGCACCTCAAAAGACATCCTCCGGATCGACCTTGAAACTCTCCCCGTTCTCCCTGACATGGACTCGGTCCTTGTCTCGATCAAGAGGCTTTCTCATGTCTAGCGCATCCTCTCCGTCCTTCGAGACTCCAGTCGGATCATCCGAGTAGTACCTGACCACAGTGCGGTACGTCGAGTAGCCCATGCTCTGATACATTTTGATGGCGTTTTTGTTGCTCCTTCGAACAAAGAGGTCGACGAACCAGGCGTCCTGTTGGTTGCAAGCCTTCTCAAGTGACTCGCTGAGAAGCTTCCCGTACCCCAGCCGCCGATATTGTGGTGCTATGGACAGGGCCGTGATGTGGCCATGCCACGGTAAGTAATGTGGCGTTCCTCTGTAAGAGGAATCTGTCAGGGACTCTTTGTTGGGCTCGCAAGGGAAGATGGTGTCTTACTTCAAATGAGCAGGCGACGACTCCACTTTGCCGATGATATAGCCGACAATTTGGCCGTGCTCTTCGATGCATTGGAATAGCGAAGGCCATCTCATCAGATATGTCAGATAGAAGTTCAGGTCATAGTTTTCCGTGTACGGGTCGAGGTTGCATAGATTCAGATGGAACAAGTCCGACGGCTGGACTCTGCGGATGGTCGGCATTGCAACTTATTTCTTTGTTGCAAGGAGCATTGCTGTCTGGTCGAGCTGAGGGTCACGGGTGCGAAGCATCAATTTTCTCGAGGACTTTGTTGGTGATTGTGGGGAGGAATCTGTGACTCCGACGAAACGCGCCGTCCCGCGAGATGCTCTCCAACAAGCCCGCCGGTTCGCGGGCCAAAATAATACGGTCGGGTCGACCTTGACTTTGCTTTGGTACACAGTTGTCCGAACAGCAAGCACTTTCAACACACACAATTAGAGCATCCGGAACATGCTTTCAATTCTATGATACAGCTTTCTTCGTTTAGACGAGCATAGACAACCTTGCAGTCATCCATATTCCACCTTTGCAGGCCTAAACACGCGGAAAGGCAGGATGACCGCCCTATCTCCACCGACCTCCCCGACAACGCCCTCGCGAAAGCGCAGGTCGTTGCGACTTTCCGGCGTCGAAATACAATCCCAAGACGCAACGTCTCCAAGTCCCTATACCAGCGGGACCACCAATGGCACAGCGTACTCGAGGAGGTCATCGCGGACCTCGCAGACTTCATACCAGCCTCGGTCCCCGGTGACACCTCGCCCCATGTCCTCCAAGTCGTCCAGACCTCCGTCATTCTCCCAACAGCGCAGGCCGAGCCGGACAAGCATAAACAGTAACAGAAGTATAGAGCCGTACGATGACAGCAACGGGCTTGGGAATTTGGCCGACGAGCTAGAGCAGGCTTGGGACGACGAAGAGGAGGGCGAGGGCCACTCCAACTTTCTCGAGGGTTTACGAGAAGGCGAGGTGGACCAAGACTCCTCGATGGTCCGCGACATGCGAAGCCCGTACGAGGTGAACGACATGCATGATTTTGGCTTTGGGATGGTCGTACAGAGCCCGCATGGTCAATATGATGGGTCGTCTTCCACACTACGCGTCCCCCCCTCTCGACGGAATTCACAAACTCGGGAGACCAAAAAGCCTGGACATCAGAGACACGAGTCTGCTTACGACGGCTCAGATTACGGACCGGATTCAGAGGCAGACGAGGAAGACGATGCCATCCCACCGATACTACGCAAAAGAATCCGCGACATCGAGAACTTGACGCGCATGTGCGTCAACCCCGAAGACGCAGTCAGTGAGGGTGGTGGTACTGTCCGGCGAGTCATCCATGGGCTTAAGGATCTTGGTCCGCAGGCCAACATTGAGTACGGGGTCACTCAGTTGATCACAGCATATACGTCGATGGCGACTCACCGAACACACAAGACACGAGATCTGTTCTCGCAGTCGCACTCCCTGATGTACGGAGGGACTCTATGGCAAGTGCCAGAGGAGATGGTCGACTTACTCCTAGACGACATCACGAGCTTATCCTCAACGCTCCCTTTCCTTCGCCCACAGAACCCACTGCTCTCTCTCCAAATCCTGGCATCGCAAACCGACGAACTCACCCACACTCTGCGCTCGCTGACCGATCTGCTTCAAGAGTCGCGGCTCGCTGCCAGTGCTGCAACCAGGAAGCTCAAGTCGGTCCGTGACATGGTGGAGGACATGTCACTCGAGGAAGAGCTGGTGGAGAACAGCATTCTGTTAATACAGGCAGGCGATTGGGATCGAAGGTGTCGGGAGAGACAGGCGGCACGGACATGTCAGGAGGTGTGTGAGGGATTTGCGGATCGATGGGGTCTGCAGTGTGATGTGGATTTAATATCGCTTGCCGAGGGCAGGAAGCAACCTGCCCCTGTATTGGTATCTGGATGATGCTGATGGAGTTGGGAGATTTGGTTCTTGGAGCGCGGAGTCTGGCTAGGTTTGGCGAGTGACTCTATGTGCATGATGGAATGATAGGGCTAAAGTGTCGACGAGAGAGCCCTGGTTAGAACGATACGAGGCACATTGGAATGGAAATTGACCTGTATGCGTTGATGTGAGAAAGGCGCGCCGCAATAATGAGAGACGGTGGATGGGACATGAAAACAATATCCAAAATACAGAGTCGACAATCGAGCTCAAGATCCGAAAGACGTGGGCAGAGTCTGGATGGTGCAGGTGATTCGTGAGTCTTTGTTTGCATGACCCCAAAGGGAGCATTCACTGGTAATAACACGCATTTTGTTTGCTTTGAGACAGCCTGGCAAACGGGGTTCCCATCGATCATTTGCACAATGACTCAATGAGCCCCATATCTGTCATGGCAGCCGCCTATCGAATACTCTTTGACTTCAGCAAATGTCCTGCACGACATCCGCTCTACTCGCATGGCCGCATGTTTTCGCATCTGCTTGCCATCTCTGGTGCTATCTTCTGGGGGCGCAGGGTCTCGACGTGAAGTTTAACTGTCATGTTGTGGCGATCTTTTCCCTCTTTCTGTACCTCAGCCTCTGCTTCACAGCTGAATCTTCGCGCACTCAAGATGTTTGTTTTCCGCTTGCGACACGGCGACGAGTTGACCCATTCCGCAGAGTTGGGATTGTTTCTGCCGTTGCGTGGGTTTCCGGGATTCACAGTGCGCAGTACGAGAACTTTGTACACAGCCTCTAGGGACATGCCTAATCCGGGACCTCAATCGGTGGCGTGCTCCAATCGTGCATCCAATCCTGTGCAATCGACGCGAGGCGAGATCGTTTCCCTTGTAGTGGAGCAGCTCTCACTAACCACAAGACAGATGAGCAAGCAACCGATGGAAGCTTGGCCTTGTGGCCGTTTACCCCGTGGCCCTGCAATTTACGCGACGACACGACAACTCCTTACGACACAATAATCCACCAAGACGACCCTGTTTTGATGAAAAATGTTATATTGGAGGGTCTAAAGAGCTTTACAATGGGGGAACTACCGAGTACAATTGGGATAACATCGACGGGGAACACGACCACGAGGGCGAAGACGAGCACAAGCAACTGGCAGTTTGGTGCTTGATCTCGTAGTGCAAAACACTCTCGCTTGGTTAAATTAACCGCGTGAAGATCCCTTATCCACCTCTACGAATGAGACGTGGTCATGAGATTCACATGGAGAAGCTAGAATATTGCCTTTCTCCTACCTCCACCTATCCCAGCTCCCGGATATCCAGACCGTCGCGGACTCAGCCACTCACGCGGCAACCTCATTGTCGACTGACACCAACGCCGTTTCGTGGTAGGTCACATCGTGGTTTTGGAACCTCTGGTCAATAAGCTAGCCTCCCTGGCCCGTGTCTCACCAATGCTGCTGTGGGAGTGGGCTCAAAAAATTGCTCAATAGACTTTGGTTCAAAGGTTGTTGTTTGGCGTGTCACTGCCGCAAGCAGCAGGATCCCACGGTACTCAGCCTCGTGCTGTCCTCCCCTGCGTCACTGGAGGCGTGGTTACAGTGGTGGCATGTTTGTTTGTGCCCTATCCCCAATTCCTGGTAGCTAGCAGGGAAGCTGTTGGCCCGTAGGTGTCCCCAGTGGTTCCAGGCGCAATCTCCCATACACGGTGCTATTATATGCTTTGACGCCCACTTGGACCTCTGTTTGCTTCTCTGCTGGTTTTCTATACCTGAGTACTCTCTCTGTGTCTTGACATACACACCGTCGTTCGCTACAGTCGCTCGCTACACATATCTTT